CTACACAACTACCACGAACTCTAACTTTCTGAGGATGTTTATTCCGAGTCTGAGTAATATTTCCTGATATTTGCCCCCTCTTGTACAGCCCCCTCTTGTACAGTTCTTCTAATTACTTGTCCAGATTACCTTCACGGTGGGTGTGTTGTGATTTTCGGATTATACTCTACTCGAAAACACACAAAAAATTATGTTTTCGGTCCATTTCATCCCAAAATTTCAATCTGATCATCACCGAAAATTGTAGGCGTTGTTCTTGACCATAACTGGAACTTCATGAAAAACTTCAAAGCCATCAGCGCGATATTTCTCCCTTTAATGTGGTAATGGATTACTAAATAATATCTGAATACGTAAGCACATGTAAATATTTGACTGTAACTCCCACATCTGAGTAGATACATCACTATATTTGGTATCAATTTAAAGGTCAACCACTCCTCTTGGATATGTTATCAACTCCTAGGGTCTACATCCTCCAGGAGTAAATATATATGCCATAGAATACAAATTTTGTCATTTTTCACACAAAAGTCAGGGTCAATTTGACCAGCTAAATATTGACCGATCTTTATCAAAACATGCACGCTTATTCTCTGACCCGATCCCCTTCTCCATGCAAAAATTCGCGGTGTTTGGGCCATAATTGCGGCCTCTGGAGCGACCAGAAAAACCGAAAAAAAATTAGTATTTGGTCCATTTCATCCCCTAAATATTAACCGATCTTTTCCAAAAACAATAGAGGTCTTCATTGGCCAGAACCCATCCTACATGCAAAATTTCGTGAAGATTGGTCCATAACTGTGGCCTGTATCGTGTTTACAAATTATAATGGACAGACGGACGGACGGACGGACACACATGTCTAGATCGACTCAGCTAGTCGAGATATGACGATCGGTATACTTAAAGGTGGGTCTAGGACCAATATTTCGCGGCGTTACAAACATTTGGGGCTGCACAAAGCTATAATACCCTGACAACATAGTTGTGTAGGGTATAAAAATGTGTTAGTCCTTTTTAAATTCAAAAGGAATAACAATTTGCTGAAATGCTACAACCGTTTGTGCGAAAAGTTAAAAATTAATTTAAAACACCATAACGATTGAAATTTTCAATTTGCAGGCATTTGCATAATCTATTATTTGGGTCAAATGAATGTCTAAATTCATATCATCAACAATTTTGGGCAATTTGATATGTTTGTATGTACGTAGTTGTGGATAGTATAACAAAGACTTATAGATTAAATATTAAAGTTTTGTGCTAGAAATGTGTTTTATACGGAATAATTTAAAGTGTCAACATAAGGTGAAGTTTAAATACCAATTTTAAATAGATAAACACACTTATCTTCTTGATCTCTTGGTGTCCTCAGAGATTTTCACACATACTTATCCTTTAGAAAATATTTGTTAAGCTATTTAGCAATCAGAATACTAATGATTATCAAAGATAATTGATATACTTACAAAATTAACAATAATATAAAAAAATGGGGAAGTCATTGAAAAACTATTTTAAAAAAATCCACGTCTATAGCTGGTAATTTAAAAAAAATATTTTTAAAAAATCTACGCCTCTTCTAAGGTTTAAAAAAAAAATATTTTTAAAAAATCTACGCCTCTTCTAAGGTTTAAAAAAAATATTTTTAAAAAATCCACGCCTTTTGGCGGGAGATTAAAAAAAAATATTTTTAAAAAATCCACGCCTTAAAATGGTCGATGCAATTTTTTTTAAATCCACGCCTATATATGACCATTAAAAATCCACGACTGTGGCTGTCCATTAAGAAATATTTTTAAACCAGTAAGAAAAGTAGTAAAGTCAGACTGGGCCGACTATATGATACCCTTCACCACTTTGGGTATATTGTATATATCGTCGGCTAAAATGCAAAAAGGCGTAACTAACAAAAAATTGAAAATTGACTTTTTGAATGAATATTGTGAATGTCAATAAACTACATGTGTTGACAAAGTTTTACACGTCTGCGGTCCAAAAAGGACCTTCTATTAACAAAAAACAAAAAGACGTAACTACAAGTGGGTTTATTTGATAAATGCAAAAAGGCGTAACTAACAACAAATTCACGTTTTTACTTAATTGTTATGACTGCCATTAAACTAAATAACTAAATTTGTTAAAAAAATTATAGTCTATTATTCATCATATGCAATATCACCCTGCCGGACATACTTTTTCATTTCACATGACATGTTTATAGTTTTCATTCAAAACAGTTTTTTGCTTCTCCTACACAATTATGTTTTTGTTAGTTACGCCTTTTTGCATTTTAGCTAACGATATGTATCCTTACGATTGCATGTCAATGTTCCCTCAAAGGAACATACTCATGCCTTTCTGCAACCAATGCTAAATATAACTTCATTCGAGCAGATTTACAGTTGTCTGCGTACCATAGGACAACTATATGGAAAACGATGTATAGCAAAATTGATACACGAAATTCGTTAAAAATTTAAACAGTGCGACGTACCATATGCGAAATACATATGGAAGCTATGGCTAAATCTGCACCAATTCCAACAAAACGCAATAACATCATTCAAGTCTCAATTTGATACGTTGTGCAAAAATTCGTGTTAATCAGACAAACACTAGGAGTTTGATCCATCATTTATGTAAAATCGAACGAAAATATATATGGGAGCTTTATCTAAATCTAAGCCGATTTTCACGAATATTAACACTCATCGTTCTAGACTTAATTCAGTACGCTATGCCAAATTTCGTGCAAATCGAAGGATATATAGGGACTTTGGTGCGCCATTTACATAAATTCGGACAAACACTAGGAGCTTGATGCACCATTTATGAAAAATCGGACAAAAATATATATGGGAGCTATATCTAAATCTGAACCGATTTTCACGAAACTTAACACACATAGTTCTAGACTTAATTCAGTACGCTGGGGCAAATTTCGTGCAAATCGAAGGATATTTAGGGACTTTGGTGGACCATTTACCTAAAATCAGACGTAAATATATATGGGAGCTATATCTAAATCTGAACCGATTTTCACGAAATTAAACACACATCGTTCTAGACTTAATTCAGTACGCTATGCCAAATTTCGTACGCTATGCCAAATTTCGGACTTTGGTGCGCCATTTACATAAATTCGGACAAACACTAGGAGCTTGATGCACCATTTATGAAAAACCGGACAAAAATATATATGGGAGGTGTATCTAAATCTGAACCGATTTTCACGAAACTTAACACACATAGTTCTAGACTTAATTCAGTACCCTGGGGCAAATTTCGTGCAAATCGAAGGATATTTAGGGACTTTGGTGGACCATTTACCTAAAATCAGACGTAAATATATATGGGAGCTATATCTAAATCTGAACCGATTTTCACGAAATTTAACACACATCGTTCTAGACTTAATTCAGTACGCTATGCCAAATTTCGTGCAAATCGAAGGATATATAGGGACTTTGGTGCACCATTTACATAAAATCAGACGAAAATATATATGGGAGCTATATCTAAATCTAAACCGTTTTTAAAGAAATTTAACACACATCGTTCTAGGCTTAATTCAGTACGCTATGCCAAATTTTGTGCGAATCGAAGGATATATAGGGACTTTGGTGCCCCATTTCTATTAAATCGGGATAATATATATGGGAGCTATATCTAAATTTTAAATACAATTCAGTTACTATGCACAATTTCGTGCAAATCGGAAGATATATAGGATCTTTGGTGCACCATTTATATAAAATCGGACTTAAATATATATGTGAGCTATGTCTAAATCTTAACCGATTTTCATGAAATTTAACTCACATCGTTCTAGACTTAATTCAGTACGCTATGACAAATTTTGTGCAAATCGAAGGATATATAGGGACTTTGGTGCACCATTTACCTAAAATCGGACGAAAATTTATATGGGAGCTATATCTAAATCTGAACCGTTTTTCACGAAATTTGCACACATCGTTCTAGGCTTAATTCAGTACGTTATGCCAAATTTCGTGAAAATCGGTGTATATACAGGGACTTTGGTGCACTATTTACTTAAAATCGGACAACATTGGATGGAATTTTGCACAAAATAAGCATAGAATCACTTTTTAAGTCGATTCAGTCCGTAAATTAAATTGACATATATATGGAGCTATATCTAAATCTGAACCGATTTTTTCCAATTTCAATAGGGTTCGTCCTTGGGCCAAATAAATGATCTGTGCAAAATTCCATCCAATTCGAATCAAAAATACGACCTGTACTTTGTTTACAATTTAATTTACGGACTGAATCGACTTAAAAAGTGATTCTATGCTTATTCTCAAAAGGAACCATGTGACTATCTCGTTTCCTTTTGCATGTTACAAACATATGCACAAAGACATAATACCCTGTACCACAGTGTGGTGAAGGCTGAGGATAGCCGTGGATTTTTATACCCTCGTTGCAGCTGATCTCCTTCTTTGCAGTTGAAAAAATATGTTTAAAAAATATACGCCTATATATCGTCATTACAAAATATGTTTCAAAAATACACGCATATGGATGGTCCAAAAAAAAATGAAATAATAATAATAATAAATCCACGTGGTCATTAAAAAATGTTTTTAAAAAATCTACGCCTATAGATATTTTTTTATCTTACTTGATGGAAACTTTTAATTCAATTGTCAGTATATATCAATATTTTCCATTTCAATTTATGGGGGTAAATAAAAAATCTTTCAGCTGTTTTGCCAACCGTTCCGTATCCGATCAGGCACGTGCTGTCTGGAGTACGAACAATGCTATTGTATTGAACATACACAATACAAATCTCTTGCATTCATACAAAAAATAAATTTGTCTGAGAAAAATCGTATCGTCTTCTTGATAAACATTTATAAAGGGTCTTCAAAAATCATTATGGGTATAAATAGGCGAAATTTTGTTGAATTTATCATCAGTAACATTTCATCATTTCGATACACCTCTAGAGTACAAAATCGAAATGCTTAAAATTGTTTGCATTTTTGGTATGCACCCCCGAATCTTCCGATATTGTTAAGATCCCTATAAAAGGATTTATATACTTTAATCATTTAGCCCTTGTCCTCGTTGCGACTTGTGAGGCCCAAAGATGTCGCCCGGTTTGTAATCCCAAAGTTCGTAGTCCAGCCATTTGTGCTGCCGATAATCAACAGAAAGAATGTTTCCGTATGAGTCAATGTCAATTGGATGAGGAAAATTGTCGTCGCAAGGCTGCCAGGCGACCAAGTAAGAAGCAAAACAAAATCAAGTTATTAAAGATTTCAGATCTAAGATATCCCTAATAATTTCTTATAGCCATTTCGAATGTTGATCCCATACGTTGTCGTAACATTAGAGCGCCAAATGGTAAAGGTAAATGTGCCCCTCCACCACGTCGTCCACGTTCAACAAAACCGGATTGTAATCGCCTGAAATGTCGTAATCCCAGTAAGGTCTTAAGGTGTTATCGTTGCAAGAAGAATATGTGTCAACTGTTGACTCCATGCCAATTGGAACGCGTTAATTGCCTACGCGGTCGTTCGAATAGATTAACTTGGACTGATACTCGTCGATGTGCCGGCATGAAGGGTGGACAAAAATTACAAAGATGCAAGGCTATTCGTAAGAAGAGTGGATAAGTGATTATGTTGAGATCTTGACACATTTGTAGACCATATATATCGAACCCCTTGCTATACATATTTCTTTGTCTTCCATGTATACTACATTCAAAATTGCTATGTAATAAAATCATATTTTAATCAAAAAATATATTATTTTTAATTGAAAATTACAATAAACTTTGGTAAAAATATTGACGGAACAATACACACGTACTGTACAAAACATTCCTGAGGAATGTATCCTCTTCCAGATTTTTTTCAGAATTCAACATCCATATCCATATTTTTTACAATTTACATATTTTGTTTAAAAGAAAAAACAAAACTTTTTTTATTTGTTCTAGAAAAAATATCCATTTATTGCAACATTTTTTCTAAATTGCCGCCAATACCTATGCTAACACGCCTACACACATAACCAATGCTACAATCCCTTTCGAAAATGTTTGAAATTGACTACTTTTTTCCATCTGTTACCACTTAACAAATAGAACTCGTTCTCATATTTAACCATATTTGAATATTTTTAATGGCTGTCCGCTCGCTCGTTCGGTCGGTCGTCGGCCAACTCTAAAGGGAATATTTTTATGGCAATTGCACGTGCTGCAAATGCCACCCCCAATAATCTACTTGTGGTGCACAGAATGGTAGGTACACCGGCAACCCGGTGTATTCCATTGAGACGGCCAGAATACTCAACGAATTTGAGTATATTTTCATGTTCTATACGAACAATAATGTATGGAAATGTTTAGAAAAAGAAACGTAGATGAAAAGGAGATAAGCTGCAACGAATATCTGTTGCCCTATATTTCTTCAGGTAATATTGAAGATAGAAGCATAGACTTGTATAGAATATTTCTCCAATAAATATAAGAGGTATGTATTTTAATTTTGTTCCAATAAAAATATTAAAAGGACAACCTGAATTAATATTCAGACATTCAAATTGAAATATTTAAAGAAGTGCCAGTGTCTAAAAGTACTTTTTATAATTCCTAATCTAGAAAAACGTATTAAAGGACAATCAGAGTGAAAATCATCTGTAAGTCTTGAAGGAAATATAAATAATATATATGAAAATATAAATTGTAAATTGAAAATATAAATTGTAAAGTTTTGTATTGATTCTATGCATATTCTCTAATGGAAATATGGGTCTATCTCGTTTCCTCGTTTTCATATTATGTTTGTAACAGGTAAAAGGAAATGAGATAGACCCATAGCTCCTTTAGAGAATATGCATAGAATCAATACAAATATATGCATAAGTCATCAATTTTTTAACCGATTTTTTTTCCCATTTTTGAAAGCTTATTTCATTTTCTTCCCCGTAATATAATAAGACTTATACGGATTGATATCATAATTTTATAATACAGTCCATACAAATAAATTTTGTCTTTTTATGTGTATTTTTCACATTTCAACCACTGTAACTCAGCCAATCCTCAACCGATTTACCAAATATATATCTTGTTTGAAAGGAAATATTCTACTCTTCAAAAGGAAAAAATCCGAAAAAAATAAATCCGTTATAATGTAAATAAGTTATTCGCGTTTCAAATTGAAAATCTATGAGACCACGTTTTTCTCTACATTTACCGTTATAAAAACTAATTTTCGAAGTGGGACAAATGATAATGATATGGTGAATGTGTTAGGTGAAAGTGCTCTTTATATGCAACAGTAAAAAAATGGTCCTTGTTTGGACCTTCTAAGACGATCTAGACGTGTCTGTCCGTCCGTCTGTTGTGATGACGCTATATTCTGAAGGAAATCTGATAGGGTGCTGGAATTTTGCATAGGTTGTCTTTTCTCGCTCATATAACGGTATGTCCAAATTTGTGGTATTTAGTTAGTTCATATTTAGGAATATCCAGCATCTAACGGTACATCTCGCATTTCGACATTTGTGTGTAGTTTGAACAATTTTTCAACGGAATTAGCTGCAATTTGATATTTTAGGTTCACATTTAGAACTGAATCTTTCTGAAAAAATAAGATATATTGGTCCAATACCTTACACAACTGTTGTATGTGTATTATAGCATTGTGGCTCAGGACTCCGTAACGCCGCGAAATATTAATCCAAGACCCGCCTTTTGGTACACCGATCGTCATATCTCGACTAGCAGAGTGGATCTAGACATATGTGTTCGTCCATCACCCGTCGGTCCATTATAATATCAAAACACCCTACAATAGGCATTTAAGAATGAAAGGGACCAAAAAGTTTATATTTGTATCTTTACTGGTCGCTTCAGAGACCTCAATTATGTCCCGAACATCACGAAATTGTACACAGAGAAAGGGTCTGTTTTGATGAAGATTGGCCAATATTTAGTGGACCCAGACTTTTGTGTTAAAAATGACAAAAGGTGTTTTTATGACGTATATATATTTACTCCTGAAAATTATAGAGATGTTGATAGAGGACTGGTTTACCCTTAAATTGATACCAATTATATTGTTGTATTTACTCGGATGTGGGAGTTTTACTTACAGGTGTCTATGTATTTTGATAGCGCTGATGGCTAGGAAAGTTAGCATTAAGTCCCGGTTATGGAATCGATGATGATCGGATGATATGCCCGGCATGAAATGAAACGAAAACTTTATTTTTGTATGGTTATACAATTATAATCCGAATATTATAAATTTTCCATGGGGAAGGCGATCTGACCACTTAATTTGAATGGCTGTCATTATAATGAACTCTGAATATTTACCGGGTCAAATTAATCAACATTATTGTGTAAAATAACAAAATATGAATCTTAATAAGTATTTTTTACTCAGGAAAAACATGATTCGAAAATGATGCCGCAGAGAAGATGTTGGCCTCTAATCGGCTAAGAGAGTAGCGATATATTACGCAGGCTCGATATTCCGTATTTTGAGGATTTTGAAAACGATTAATATTTAATTTGGCTGTAATTTGGTAATCTACCTACCGAAAATTTTAATATTACCCCACTTTAGGGGTTAGTCCCAGATAACCTTTATTACTTTATTTTATTTTGTGTAGTATCATAAATGCTCCCGATTTTCCCTACCATCAAAAAGTATAGAAATAAAAGCTCAGTTTAGAAAATGAACTATAGCATAAATTATAGTATCATAAATTATGGCTCCCGATTTTCTCTTTGTTCAATGTTTAGCGTCATCCCAAATATTCAAATATTTATTTCTTCATTAGAGTTTAAAGCCAGACTTCCCAAATTTCAAGTAACTGTCAGTGTGCCAATGGGGGAGGGTTTAAACAAGTTTATTAATTTTTGAAATCGTACTGATTTCGTGTATGCTCACAAATTTCAAACTTTCCAATGGACTTTTTAGGCTGCACCAGCAAAACTTAGTTTTGCCTCGGCCACATATCTTTGAACCAAATCCGTTTGAAAATGATTTTGCCCAATATATTATCTTTACCAAGCCTAGATGAAATCCGAAGATGGGACCCATTGCTCCACTCCTTCGGGTACCTCCCTCAAAAAATCGTCAACATTTTCAATATTTACGAATCTATTGAGATTAATGTAATGTGCGATTTGAACCAAACTTTATCAAGCCTAGATCATGTCGGATGATATAACCGACTTGTCCACTCCTTTTGGTACCTCCCCCTCAAAAGGGTCAAATTTTTCAGTATTTATAAATTGTATATTAGACGAAAGTGATGTTCGATTTGAACCGAACTTTGCACATTTTTTTATCTTGACCAAGCCTAGATCAAATCCGAATATGGGGCCTATAGGTCCAATCCTTCTAACACCTCCCGCACAAATGGTCAAAAGTTTCAATATTTATATATTGAATATTAGTCAAAATGAATGTCCGATTTGAACCGAACTTTGCACATCCTATGGTCTTGACCTAGCCTAGATCAAATCCGAAGATGGGACCTATGGGTCCAATCCTCCTAACACCTCCCGCACAAAGGGTCAATATTTTATAAACTTTTAATTTTATTCCGAAGACCTCCGCTCCCATCGGATGAGGTTATATAATTGTCGTCAACACCTACTGATAATTTTTATTTGTTTTTGCTATATTGGTTAACCCTCGGGAATACGATATCTTGAATGTAATTTGAAGGTCTTGGAATAATATATATAATAATGGTTTGTTGTTTCTCTTTTTCACTATTGTATGGCGAAAGAATTGCTAGTAATTTCGTAAGACATTAGGCCCCAGACCAATATTTATATCTGATATTTTTATTTACCTAATATCGATTTATTTATAATTATAAGGCGTATAATATTGCTCAAGATCATACTACTCTTATCACACTTCGAATATTGATATCCAGCTATTTTTTATTTGGCTCTCTCGTATAATAAACAAATCTTGCAATTCTTCGGTGACTCTTAATTGATATTCACTTTTAATAAAATTCATTATTGGCGCGGAAATCCAATTCCTAAATATCGTGGCAAATAAATGTAGTCCATTTTTGGTCTAGTAAATAACAATGGATTTTCTGTTACATACCGAACAACAACATGTACATGAACTTACCCTTCCTGTGTAGAGGATACACATAAATATCTTACGGTAGACAGACACAAAAAAATTCGAAGAGAAAAAAACCGCCACTTTTACCGGAAGGTATTGTCTAGAAATATTGCCATGCAATTCTTTTCTCAATATGCTTTTTTGTTGTTGTTATCTTTTCACATTAGCGTAATGGAAAAATCAATATTTAATGCCGGCACTAAATTTAATACAAAATGTTGGAAAATAATATAAAATCACAAAATTCGTTTACTTTGAAGGGAATTTATTTAAAAAAATCAATGCAATTTATATTTTATGTTTATAAAATATATTTTATAACATTTATGTTCTTTCGATTTTGTATACCAACGTCACATAGATTTTATCCACTTCGATGTATTTAAATTTTATTTGCTTAAGAATATTTTTATTTCTTTAATACACAATTATTTTTCATTCATTTATTCATTTTTTATTAACTTATTTTCCTTTGTTGTTGTTTATTTATCATT